TTTTTTAAGATTGACAAACATCATATGTGTAATTCATGGCACAATTCATTCATCCATTGACTTCAATACATTATTTTTCCGAAATAAGGTCCCATGGACCGGAAGTAGATGGGCATGACTTCGCCACTCTATAGGGACAAGTGCCATCAGTTTGAGGCTTGATTGAATAATTGATTACAAAATAAATCAAAATACTACAACGAATGAAAATAAGCTTGAAATAATTGAAACTGTGGTTTAAATAAGTTCTTATAGGCTATTGTTGTTTTTAGATTTAGAAACAAAAACTTAAAAAAAAAAAAATCTGGTGTTGTTAATGATGACCTTACTAACCGTGAACGATTAGCGAGCGAACGATCAACCGAGCACAAGTGCAGGCTCCGCCAGCAATGCAAAAGTGATATGCACAGTCACAACACTGTGATGGAGGAGAGAAGTGACTCAGGAAGAAGGCATTTGCGCAAAGAATGGAGAGAAGGCTGTGACCGAGGTCAAAATCTGAAAAAGCACAAACTTGTCCTTAATTGTTATCTTTTTTCTTTTCTTTTTTACTTTGCCACCACATAAATGGCAATAGCAAACATCAGCAGACTGAAGATGAGCTATTAGCCCTTAGGCTCATCTGCTCCTGGAGGCTTTCATTATTATTGTGGAACTAAATTCCCAATAGGACGTTTTCTGTTACAATGTATTGCAGGAGGCCTACATTCACACTTTGGTATATGTCCAGGAAATGACATGTGTATACAGTTGTCATTTGTGGTGTGAAAATAAGTTATTATTTTGTTCTTTATATTCTCACTTGTGGTGTGTGTGTGTGAGAGAGAGTATGGTATTATGAATACATTTGCCTTCGAGTCCTGCATGAACTGTGCATAGGCTGTATTTTAACATTGGTCATACTCGGAGAGACAACTATTTTCTCTGGTGGTAGGCTACTTGGTGTAAAAAGGTTCAGAACCACTGTATTATAATAATATATAATCAATCCTTAAGACCTTTGTTCAAACCAATATGATGCACAGACAGTGTTAATGAGTAAATGCAGTTATGTGTAAAATGGAGATACATTGCCACATAGTGGTCAAAACAAGCAGTACCGCAGAGTACAAAGTGCAAGTAAGAAAATGAAACGGACTGTGAAACCATTCATTTGAAGTATAGCCCAGCATATAAAACAATTCACGAATTTCAAGAAGTGTATCTGTGCATCCTCATCGGCGAGCAAGATCAGAAACGTGCACTGCTAAGCCTAACATCTGAACTCACTTCCTGGTTTTAGGACCCATTCTAACGTTCCTGCACCACTTTTTAACCAATAGGAGTCCAGCTCACGTGACTTTCGGCCAATCGGATTCCGCGGCTCTGCCTGTTGAGGAAGTATAAACCACCCGCCTAGAGGAAAAGCAAACATTAGTTGCTTCTCACACTGGACTCATAAAGGTCTTGCTGCAAGAGCTAAATGTGCCTGTTTCCTATTTTACAACAAACTCAAGACTTCCCAACTTTAAAAAACATCGTTAGTGTAAAGATATAGGTTTTCTCAATTTGTGTATATGAACGTGTGCCATCACGTGGCGACCAAACTAGTTTCACTTACTGTTATAACTGTTAAGGAGTGGCATATGCTGACCTACATTTAAACAAATAAAAAAAGCTCTTAACAGGTTAGTTAGTTAGATGGATGGATAGATAGATAGATATACTTTATAGACGTTTAACAACGCCTTCTTCAGTAGTTCATTTCAACTGTAAAAGTGGTAAAATATGTGTTCATTTGACAGTCACATGGCACAATCCACTTTCAGGTTTGTTTCGTGGTTTCCCTGCCTGTACCCAGTTGTTGGCAGAGGTCAGTGAACTTTCAACACATTCCTCTTTTACCGGCTGTTTGAAGAGGCTGGCCTTTATTAAACTGCAACCACTGGCTTTTCAGACACACCCTGTTCACTAAAAGCACAATGGGGCCTTTTATATTTAATATGTTATGTTGTATGCATTAAAAATAAGGAACTACAGCTGTATTTGGTTTGGTTTTAGGAAAAGTATTGTCTATAGCCGCTTTCACACCAAGTACTTTGCCATACGTAGCACGCAGTGCCCTCATGGAACTAAGTACAGATCGCGTTCCCCGGAATAAGCTCCCTGAGGGAAGATTACGCAAATGAAGCATGGATGTATAATAAAAACTGACGTCACTTCTTCTTCTTCTGCTTTGGGTTTACTGTAAGGCCGCAAACCACTTCACGGCGTAAACTGCCACCCGAAGTCCCCGGAGTTGGGGACTGGCTTCAGTAGAAGCTGCTGGGACTCCCAGCAGCTTTTTGTGTTGCCATAAATTATTCTCTCTCCGTTGGTGCGTAGGGCTAATGCTAATAATGCTAATGCCAGCAAATACAATGGCGGCTTCACAAAACTTTTCAGAGTTTTACGGGGCGTGGTTTGCAATTCGCCCAGCCAATCGAAATTGGTACTTTTTTCTCCCCTGGATAGTAGCCTAACACCTCTCTAGCAGGCACTAAAAATGGGGGTAAAAGTTCTCGGAACTAAGTACTCTTTTTGGTGTGAACGCAAAATTCCAGGCACTAAAGGAACTAAACGGGGAAAAGTACTCCAGGGTGAGAGCACACCTAATACACTGTTAATGTTATGTATGAATAATCAGCCTCTGATATAAGTAGCCATTTCTCAAGGGGTTGTCTGTTCCTAGGCTTAATGTGTACTTCAATCATGTGATTTTTGTCATGATGTTCTGGTTCTTAACAAAGGAGGCTTTTTTCCACTCATTTAAATATTAAAATATCTTTAGAGCAGCCTTCAGCATCTAATTTGTGAGACTTAGCACAAGGTTGAGCCAACCACGGCTTAAAAAAATAAAATAAAGTTATAGTGCCATGAACTTCACGTCCTTTTCCCCTCCAGCGTGAGTGTCTCTCCATCCACGTCGGTCAGGCTGGTGTCCAAATTGGCAATGCCTGCTGGGAGCTTTACTGCCTGGAACATGGGATCCAGCCGGACGGACAGATGCCCAGTGACAAGACGATTGGAGGAGGAGACGATTCCTTAAACACCTTCTTCATGGAGACTGGAGCTGGAAAGCACGTCCCCAGAGCAGTTTTTGTTGACCTGGAGCCCACTGTCATCGGTGACCTCTCACTACAAAAATGCAAAGATGCTGATGTGTAGATTTGTCCACCTCTTAGTCAAACGCTTACATTTATGCTTATTTCCCTTTTTTAGATGAGGTTCGAACTGGGACCTACCGCCAGCTGTTCCACCCTGAGCAGCTAATCACTGGCAAGGAGGATGCTGCCAACAACTACGCCCGTGGACACTACACCGTCGGCAAGGAGGTCATCGACCTGGTGATGGACAGGATCCGCAAACTGGTGGGTATATTTAGAAAACTAAAATGTTAAATTAAATGATTCAGTTTTAGTGCCAAGTAGGTTGTCACATAAAAGGAATTTGAACCGATACTCTATCTCCTGCACCCTTGTTCTGACGACACCCATATTCAAACTCTGCCTTAATTTGAACCTATACTACACATCTGGAACAGTTTTGATTAGTCATATGCTGCAAAGGCATTTTTACGCGACTGCGTTCAAAGCAAAATGGCGAAATCCTGGCTTGATTTACCAATTTAATAATCTCTGGTGTAGAATTTCCTGAGCATGTTGAACTGTTAGGCACATTTTGACTGAAAGCCATGTACTGAGGGCCATGAGAAAGCTTTGCCAAGATGGAGCACACTGACTCATAAGCTGAAAACAATACCAGTGTCTCTGACATAGCTGGGGAAAAGCTAAACAGTGTTTCCAAATGTTCTTTATATTCAGAACGTTTAGTAAGTTTCATTCTCTTTGTTTCAGAGTTAATCCAAAAGATGTGTAACGCATAACTGTATCTCAAATATTTTCATTGTCTCTCCCTCTATTTCAGTCGGACCAGTGCACTGGTCTTCAGGGTTTCCTGGTTTTCCACAGCTTCGGAGGGGGCACCGGCTCTGGTTTCACCTCCTTGCTGATGGAGCGTCTGTCTGTCGACTACGGAAAGAAGTCAAAGCTGGAGTTCTCCGTCTACCCAGCTCCCCCAGGTGTCCACCGCTGTGGTGGAGCCCTACAACGCCATCCTCACCACCCACACCACCCTGGAACACTCTGACTGTGCCTTCATGGTTGATAACGAGGCATTTATGATATCTGCCGTAGGAACCTCGATATCGAGCGTCCCTCTTACACAACCTCAACAGGTTATAGTCAGATTGTGTCCTCCATCACTGCATCCCTTCGCTTTGATGGTGCCCTCAATGTTGATCTGACAGAGTTCCAGACCAACTTGGTGCCCTACCCCCGTATCCACTTCCCTCTGGCCACCTATGCCCCTGTTATCTCTGCAGAGAAAGCTTACCATGAGCAGTTAACGGTGTCAGAAATCACCAATTCCTGCTTTGAGCCAGCCAATCAGTTGGTAAAATGTGACCCACGCCACGGTAAGTACATGGCCTGCTGCCTTTTGTACCGTGGTGATGTGGTTCCCAAAGATGTGAATGCTGCCATTGCAACCATCAAAACCAAGCGCTCCATCCAGTTTGTGGACTGGTGCCCCACTGGTTTCAAGGTGGGCATCAACTACCAGCCGCCCACTGTAGTTCCTGGTGGAGACCTGG